GGAGGATAACACCATGCTGAAAGAAGCCTCGACTGGCCGTCAACGGCAGACTCCAGCGCTTGTAGGATAGGTATACCTGACTCTGTAGTTTGCTACTGTGTGTGTGTGTATGTGTGTGCATATGTGTGTGTGTGTGGGGACCAGCCCCAAGGTTTATGATTTAACTCATTACAGTGTTTCAATCCGCCTAATAAACTAGAATTTTAAGGATCCCGAGTTGGTCATTTGTAGCCAACATTAGCACAGCGGCTGGGGTGCTGGCTGTTGTCAGTCTGGCACAGTTAAACTGCATTTTGGGCTGGGCAAGTCTCTGGTCAGAGATGTCCAGGAGTGTCCCCCAGTGGCACAGAGATATGTTCCGGGGTGGGCCAAGAAGGATTTGTGGGTATAATCCCAGCCCATAATCCAGTTCTTTAGTTCCATATAATTAGCACAGTGGCTTGGGTGCTGTAAATTGGCAGCCTGGCATGGCCAAACTGTGCTTTATGCCAGGTAAATCTTTCATCAGAGATGTCCAGGACAGTCCCCCGGTGTCACACAGGCATGGCGTGGGGTGGTCCAAGAAGGATATGTAGCTATTATCCCAGCGGAAAATCCAATTCCTTATTCCAGTCTATATATTTAGAACAGTTTTGGGGGGTGCTATCACTTGGCAGTCTGGCATGGCCAAACCACGCTTTGGGCAGGGCAAATCTCTGGTGTCAGATGTCCAGCAGAGTCCCCCAGTGTCACAGAGACATGGTATGGGGTGGCACAAGAAGGATTTCTAGGTATAATCCCAGCCCAAAATCCAGTTCCTCATTCAAATCCATATATTTAGCACAGTGTCTGGGAGGGTGGTGTCAGTTGGAAGGTTGGCACAGCCAAACTGTGCTTTGGGTCAGACAAGTCTCTGCTCATAGATGTCCAGGACAGTTCCCTGGTGCCACAGAGATGTGTTCTGAGGTGGCCCAAGAAGGATTTCTAGCTATAATCCCAGCCCAAAATCCAAATCCTTGTTCAGATCCATTAATATAGCACAGTGGCTGCGGTGCTGTCAGTTGGTACCCTGGCATGGCCAAACTGCATTTTGGGCTAGGCAAGTCTCTAAACTGAGATGTTCAGGAGTGTCCCCCGGTGGCACAGAGACGTGTTCTGGGGTGGCCCAAGAAGGATTTCTACGTATAATCGCAGCCCATAATCCAGTTCCTTATTCGGGTCCAGATATTTAGCACAGTGGCTGGTGTGCTGTTGGATGGCAGTCTGGTACAGCTAAACCGCACTTTCGGCCAGGCAAATCTCTGGTCAGAGATGTCCAGAAGTGGTCCCTAGTGGCACAGGGACATGGGCTGGGGTGGCCCAAGAAAGGTTTCTGGGTATAATCCCAGCAAAAAATCCAGTTCTTTATTCAGTTCCATGTATTTAGCACAGTGGCTGGGTTGCTGTCTGTTGGCAGCCTGGCACGGCCAAACCACGTTTTGGGCCAGGCAAGTCTCTGGTCACAGATGTCCAAGACAATCCCCTGGTGGCACAGAGGTATTCTGATGGGTGGCCCAAGCATAATTTCTAGCCATAATCCCAGCACAAAAAACAGTTCCTTATTCAAGCCATTATACTTAGTATAGTGGACATGGGGGTTGTTAGTTGGCAGCCTGGCATGGCCAAACCATGCTTTGGGCCAGGCAGGACTGTGGTCAGGGTTCTTTGGGACAGTCCCCCAGTGGCATCGCCACAAAACTTGGGGTGGCCCAAGAAGTGTTTTGCCCCATAATCCCATACTAATCTGACCTTCATTTAGGGCTCTGTACTTGATGTAAGATATAATTTTACATATTAATTGCTACATATGCATAGCTAATTAAATTCTGTCTGTGTAATTCATTGATGACAAGTTTTTATTGGGTCTAGATTAGCTTTGAAAAAGGAACCGGGAACTGAGAATAAAGAACTGGGAATAAGGAGTAGAGAACTGGGAATAAGGAACCAACTTCAGCTTCATCTGCTCCTTTTTGATTTTATCAAACAAGAAGCATCAAGCTACTGAACAGTGTGCTTTCATGATGACACTTGGAGTCATCACCACAAGAGCAGAGAAATAAAGTTTTGGTGTAGTTGTTGCCCACTTTGTGTCACACGTTCATCTTTCAGAAACAGTTCTGTCCCTGGTAGTGCACGTGCAGAAAGCAAGGCAGAAATGGT